TCATCGATATAATTTAAAATTAAAAATGTTTTCTTTGACAGTAATGTATTTCATTTTAATATCCATTGTCATAGTTTTTTTTTCTATTTAATCGTATAAATTGATCTGAATAAAAAATTGAATTTCTTTATATTACCTACAGGGGCGGAAAAAAAAAGAAATAAAACCCAAAAAAAAAAAAGAAGAGAAAAGATAGAATGCAGATTAAGAACGAAACGTAAGGATAAAAAAAAAACAAAATGGGTGAAAAAAAAAAACTATAAGAGGTTTGAAAGGAATGAATTTGCGAACCTTGTCCTTTCGTGACGAGTCTCCTCGAGAAATAGTAGTCACGATATTTTCAAACCACGTATCATAGTAAGAAGAATGAAAAAGAAGAAGGGAGGAAAGGAAGATTGTAAGGGCTGCTGTTGGTGTAGTGGTATCGTGTTTCCGTTATTCCGTTTTAACCTAGGTGCCAGTCTAATCGCCAAAAATAGATCGAATTCGCAGGAATCGTAAGTAAGAAGTCGATAGGACACGAAACCTTTCGGTGGTTCTTCTCTTTCCCTTCTACTCGTGCTTCGTTTTAACCTTCTAACGTTATCGATCCAATACCACCACCACCTTTCTTCTCTCTAACGCCTACTCTAATTTCATTTATACCTTTTATACGTTAAATCTTTGTACTAACAAAAAAAAAAAAACAAAAAAAATTCAATCACGATAACTACTAACTATAAACATCGTGAAATTATTATTTTAATCACAAATTATTTGACAAATAAGAGTTTCAAAAATTGTGTGTACGAAAATATTTATTCATCTTTAAACAAAAAAAAAATATATATATATATCATTAAATTCTAATGTGTTGAAAAAAATTCGTGTAAATATTCCAAAATACCTATTGATATTATTTATATTATTCTATAATTTTATTTTATCACATTTAACGTTCAATCTCGAATATATCAAGTTCAATTTCTATGAAACGTGTCATACAATAATTTACTAAATTATTAAACAAACTAAAGAGTTAAATTCTATAAAAAAAGAAAAAATCATCGCAAGGTGGGAACAATTCATTAAAGAAAGAAAAGGAAAAAAGAAAACAATTAATTATCAAACAAAATTTGCATTTACATACTTCGAAATCACTGACACAAAAATCAGCATGATTCTGACACAAGAGTGATTAATGCTTAACTCATTAACAACACAAGTAGAATATATTTGTAAAACTAAAAGTATTGTCCTCTTCCTTTTCCTCTTTCTCCTCCTCCTCCTCTTATTCTTTCCCTAACTATTCTACAGCTTATGTAAATACGTTAAAATTAATACAAACGTAAATAAAGAGTGTGGTGTAAACGTAAAAATAGAATTTCTCCCCTCGCGTTAAACAGCAAGAAAGAAAATAAGGAACACCGTGTAATTGAAATGAATACATACATACATACATACATCGAATGTTTCCTTTTGGCTAATTGCTTCGTTAATTTAATGACCAACAAAACAGGGGGGGAGAAAACGAAGATACCACCACCGAACGAACGATTGTATTAATTCTAAAAAAAAAAAAAAAAAAAA